CCGCGCCACGCGACGCCGCGTGGCCGCGAGTCACTTCCACCATTGGCTTTGGAAACTATCAACCAAGATTATTGTGTCACCATTATTCTGACAGATACAAATATACGCCAAAAGAACACAGATTAATTCGATAACATTAGTTTCCGTGTACTCAAAACAAAACTCATTATTTATTCAACCTGAGATTATGATGAACTGATGGACGTCTTGCCACTGGAATTGCAGAAGTGATCTTTGAACCTTGATTTTCAGTGAATATTTTATCCTGTTAACTTTATAACAGCTGTAATAGATCAAAGCAAACGGAATCAATAAGGAATTTTTATCTCTGCAATTTGAGCTGGAAGACATTCAGTTATACCACAATCTATCGCGCCACATATGGATCACAACAGACTGCAGGAGGTATTGATTTCCCATTAGGCTTATCATAATATAGTGTGCACTACATTTAGTCTGGGGCGGACTTAATCTGTGACTATAAGCAGGTCACCTCTTCGTCGGCCCAATTTGGAAATGCTCCTTTCCTCATTTTTAAGTGTCATTTTCCACAAACAACATGGTGCATTCACAACGCCACCGTGTCAAGCTGTTTTCACACTGTGAACCATTCTGCCAATCTCGGCTTCTGAAGGGGCCCCTGTGGGAGTATTTCTTGAACAAACTGAGTATATGGACTTTCTATTTCAGAGTTATCACCGAATATGCTTTGCTTCCTTTAAAATTCCTCGCTTCGCTTTGCTTCTCTCTCGCTCCGAAGTTTCAGACTGGCGAAGATGTTATGAGTGATAGTTTGCCCTAAGTTTCACAAAACTCACAAATAAACTACACTCTTAAAATTACAGAATTCAACCAGGACAAATAAAGTACTCAAGACACAAAAAGATCATATCAGAGTAAGCCCCCCCTCTCACTTGTTAATATAGTTCGCCACTAGAGATGAAATCAAGCGCTTCACGGCACAGCCGACAGGGAGAAATGTAGCTGCAAACAGCAATGTATAATGGAAAATAAACCTTAAAAATACCGCACTCACCAACGGTACATCTCTCTTAAAGGAATAACTAATAGGAATCTAGAATAATTAATACAAAACTGTAAACTGTATACCGACCCCAATAAGTTCACTCCGGACATGCGATAAAGTACAGAATTCGTGCAAGTGTTACACGGGTAATTGTCGCAATATCCCTATATCGTGTCCCTGACTGTCTCTGGACTTCCACTTTGAGGAAGGCTGGTGACAGGAGGATGTTTAGTGAACGCAGTGATCATCTCACATGCCCATGGACATCTGATCTCACCCCTAAACAATGACACTGTGGAGTCCCTGAGTAGCTCTTCCAGCAGCAGACTGTTACACCCACCCCCAGGGTGGATAAAGAAGGAGCTAGGTTTTACGACAGGTCTTTTCAATCCCTGCGTGTCGACTCTGGTGGCAGGTGGGAGTCTAATGCTGCCTGTGGCGCTGTGGAAAAAGCGAACATGGGAGTCGTACCTAGGTGCATGTGGCGCTCTGGCAAGCGTGGGAGTCATTAATTTCGGGGTGCTGTGGCGTTGTCCGAAGCGCTGGGCCGTTCTACGTGGGTTGCTCAGTCGAATCGCTGCCCCCCGCCGGGGTGGGAAGGTACATTGGATAACCTGTGGCGTTGACTGCCGCCCCTCTGATGGCTCGAATGGAACCACCAACAAGCCTCCAAACCACTTTGGCTCGGGGCCTGGGTCAGCTGCTCAGATGAAAGCTTCCTGAGCCTACCTCCAGCTCAGCTGTTAGAGAGGATGAGAGGGGTTAGTTCCATGGATCGAATGATGGCTTTCAGCTTCCCTCTCATCCTCTTCTCAGTCACAGTCTCCACACTGTCCAGCTCCATCCCCACCACCAAGCTAGCCTTCTTCAGCAGCTTGCTAAGCTTGTTGGCACCACAAGTTGCCTCCTCCACAGCGCACCACAGTGAAGAAGATGACACTGGCCACAACAGTGCTGATGTTTCAAAAAAGTTTAGGAAACACTGTTTTGTTATAATGATTATACCACGCTCCCAGATGGATATAATGTTATCATAACTGAAATAAAGTGGATTAATGAGCAATGTAAACTGTGTGTTTGAAACGTTATGGAAGCATTGATGGAGGAGGCAGCAGCACTGAGACTCAGTCGAGTAACCAGCCTCTGGAAATGAGGCCTGAAGAAAATATGAACCAAGCTAATATGTAGATTAGCGTTACATACAAATAGGACTTGATTATGTTGTACTGTTATGGATAGACAGTATTATTAAAACAATAATTCCCTTTCAGATGGAAGCGTGACGTTACGTTTCCTCCCTAGATGAGATGCAAATGTGCGTACACGCAGGGTTATCTGTGTGTGTTGAAGAGAGTGCTACAGACGGAGCAGGGAGGGAGGAAAAGCATTCCCATTAGAGTGCCCATTAAGTCTGATTACAAGTGATTACCGTCTGTCGGAGAGAGAGAGATGACCAGCCCTGTCCTGCCACTGAATTAATGACATAAACAAATGCTTTCTTTTCTCGCTCTCATCATAATCAATCCTGTGTTTTCTTCTTCTTCTCTTCCCATGAGATCTCAACATGAACTTAACATTACTTCCAGCGTTACATGGCGAGACTTAAAGTTGTTTCTGCTTCCCCGCACATGTTGTTTTGTCACTGTTTTATTTATGGCCGTTTTCCTCCCAAAAATACTGTTCTTTGCTTCAGGGGCCGACACACACACACACAAAAAGATATATTAACTCATTTGAGGGCCGCTGGTCCGAAAGAGACCTTACTGCAGCGTGGGGGGAAGCATTTGTAGTCGTAGCCACATGTGAAAACCACCAGAGGTTATTTTAAAGCAGCTGTGGGACTCGCCTTGAGTGGTGCATGTAGGTCATGTTGGCCGGATGTAGCGTTCTGACTACATCCTTCCACAGAACAAAACTGACTCAATGTGATGTATTTGTTTATGATTTAAATGAAGCACAGACACGCAGATACCTGGATGGGTTTTAATGTTTTTGACCTCACCGCCTCTAAACTTTAATACCCGACCAGTTCCTCGGGTCGATTCCTAACGCCATGGCAACATGTTTGCGATCGTTTCTAGACCTACTGGTGTTCACAGCTGGACTATGATTCTCATCTCTATATATGTGTGTGTGTTTTTGTAGGTGTTTCTCTCGGGGAGCTCAGCAGCTCCTCAGCGCTGCCCGGAGTCAGACTTCACCACTTCCTCTGGTAAGACCTTCATGTTGCTCAATTCCACACAGCCAGAGTCCTGCAGCCTGCAGAATGCCAATACACAGTGTCTCTCTCCACTAGACCTCCCTGCTGTGGTCAAGACCTATACACACATATACACACATATACACACATGTGGTCAAAATCAGCATAATTTTAATGATCTGAATATTTCTCCAATATGTGTGCGAGATCTACTAGTGTTCATTGCAGCAACCGCTGTTCCAGCGTGTCAGACAAAACTTCTTAAACAAATCTTTGATTTTTAATTCATTGCAATGTCATTTAATAATGTGATTCCACTGAAAACAATGAATGCCCAGCCTGCTGTCATCACCTAATGCGGGCCACATAATGTGAGGGTTCACTTTTGTGAAATTAATCTGTTGCATTGATTCATCATTTATAAATTATGCAAGTTGAATGGATTTAGCTGCAATAACAAATAACCAGATCTAATCAGTCTACCTTCAACAGTAATCAATAAAACATGTCGAATTGTCAAATGGAATCAAAGCAACACCTACATAACAGTGGTTAGCTGTGTAACTATATCACAGTCTGCTTAAAAATGTTGTGAATCTTCAAACTAGTAACAACAATTTTAGCAATTATTTAAGCCTTTTAAGGATTTCTCTTCCATGTTGGCTTAAAAGTTGAGTTTCAAAGACAAAACAGTCTGAACTTAAGATCCCTTTAGCAGCTGCGTTCTGGAGCTTTGGAGCACATCACACGATTTTCATCAGCAGGTGGAGTTGGAATTGTAGATGTTTTCCTAAATGGACCTCAAGGTGAGAATGTTGTCAACGGCTGTTGCTAAGGCCAATGTGGATGAGTAGGGGAAAATATGTAGTATAACTAGTAATCTAGTTAGGAAAATCTGATTTCTATTTTTTATATTTCTATTAGGTTACTGTAGAAAGCCATAAAGTGGTTCTTTAAAGCTGCAGTAGGTCATTTTTGTAAACACAACTTTTTGACGATTGGTTGTTTTCATTCAGGCCAGGTGTATTCTTGTAAATGTCATTAGGAGCACTAGGAGGAGCCAGAGGAACCTGATTGTTTCACAGATTATCTGTCTCATGTTCTACTGCTATTTCTAAAAGCTATTTTTATAAAAAGGTCCTACTGCAGCTTTAATAGAAAATTCTGCTATATTTTAACATGGCGTATTTACCATAGATGTTATCATGTGACATGGGGTGTTGCACTCTCTACCACTACTATAGAGATTTTACACATGAATCAAAATGCTAACCATCATGGCTAACTGCATAGGGTTCCAAAGTAGGGGTGAACTATCTGGCCAAAAAATACTATCATGAACTATTTCATTGCAATCACAATCAACAATTTAAATTGTGTTTTTTTTTTTTTTTTCAATTTTAGGCTATAGCTAAACTTGAAACAGCCTCTGAATTTCTCCATTTACACCATTAAAAGTCAATATTGCCTTAAAGATACTACACAGCAGGGGTGTATACTTGAGTATTGCAATAAGGTGTTTTGTGATATTGTATCGATTCTCATAAACACTGTATCCTTTTTTGTGCTTAAACCACCAACTGAAAAGATAGCAGTGTTCTAAACAAATATAAAAAATAATTAAAAGTAACAAAAACAGTATTGCAATATATCACAATATATTGAATCGTAACCCCATATTAAGTGAATGTAAAAGTTGTGTAAAAGTATGAATGTTATCAAATCTAGATTATCGTGTTACTTTAGCTGTAGGAGTACAATATGTAGCTAATATATGATGGCATATCATATTGTAACATAATAATATGGTTGTACTGATATGCAGTTATCATTTGTGGTTTGCTGGGTAAATTTCAACATTGTGTAGCACAGAACTATTACTATACCTATATAACTATACTACTATTAACTATTGTCTTCGACTTATATAGGCCCACAGAGCAGAGTTTTAACCACAGATGTGTTCCAAGATGTTATTGGACAATCTGCCTTCTGTTCTCCAAACTCCAATCAAAGGGCTACCTCGCTAACTGTTTGATTGTCACATGGGTCTACTAGGGTGGAATGCTGGCCATAAAAAAACACTAAATGCAGCAAACAGCTAATGCATCAAAACCTCCTTTTGACTGATTTAATGTCAGCTAATTAAAAGAAACAAAAAGATTATGAGTGAAAATTGTTTGGCCCGTTAAATAAAGGCAGCTTCTAAATTTACCCCTCTGCAAAGGCCTATGTAACCCAAACTTAAACTCGACAAACCCAGCATTGTGTACAGTATATTGCAAGGAGGGAAATATATGTGACAGCTTATTAAAAATAAAGACTAACAGACTGGCTGTGTAGCTCAGAGGAGATGTCAGAATGAAAACAAAACGGCTTCCATCTGCACACAGAAAATGGGAAAATGTGTCGGAGCTAAAATGTAATGATGATAACTTAGACACCAAACATCATTCATGGGTCCGCAGGAGATTGTTAGCTGCAGCTGTCAGCCATTTGTCACCACTGTGTTCTCACTGCAGGTCATTATAGCAGTGCATGGATTATTGGTTGTAATACTCCTGATGCATTATTTGGACCCATTCAGCTTTCGGTCTCCAGCGAGGGATCATGCTCAGAGCATGTACAGTGTAACAAGAACACTGTAGCATTTCTAAAACACACCGGATAGCCCCTGTGTATCAGCCATCCTTTTTGACATTGGCCCATGTGTTTTTTCCCAGCAGCCAGAGAACTTAATGTAATATGATAAGTGCACTGGGGACTCCGACACAAAGTCATTTGGTTGATTCTTCTATCAGCTTGAATTCTTTAATGAAAACACCATCTGCTGTCGTTTTTGTGATACCAGTTGCCATGATGATGAGCCTGTATCACGTTGCGCGGTGTGATGCAGTTTCGTAAATTAAGTATTAGAGAGCTCCAAGCATAATGGTTGGCGGATCAAGATTGACTCTTATCTGAATGCCAGCTCCAATAAGATGCATATTGGTCAAGGCTATGACTATTGTTTACTGCTGCTCATCAGTGTTGATTCATGATGCAAGCTGACATTGCCCACACTGAGATTACCACTGAAGACTGTTAGGAGGGCTGACATTTAGACTTAGATAAGGCACAGATGTCCCTTTCAAAACAACCAGAGCCATCATATTCCAGGTGAATGCAGCATTTACTGCTTTTGTTTTGCATATATTGTACTACTGTTTGGTCAAGTGTGCCTTGTGTTGAGTCCACCTGCAAAGCAAAAATTTTAAAGATACATTCAGTGATGGAAGAAGAATACGTTAAAGTAATAATTAGGGCTGCGCAATTAATCGAAATGTTATAGAAATTACAATGTGGCCCAGTGCAGTATCCAAACTGCAGAAACTGAGGAACACTGAGGTGATTATCGTACTAACCCCTTCGATAATCACTCCAGTAGTGTTTTTTTATCCTCGATAAAGAACACTTTTTATAATAAATCAGGCCAGGAGTTTAATGTCCTCCCCGGCCAATCTCCACACGTTCACAACAGACCACATGCTGTAACTGTTTTGTTAAAATATTCTATATTTTTTCTTGCAATACAGTAAACATATATTTTTGTTTTATTACACACAAAAAATGCAAACGTTAAAAGTATCTTCAGTTTAGAGCATTAGTCAGTGTCACTTCTGTAATGAAGGCTACAGGAAGACATATTCATATCTATATATGAATGTCTGGTAGCTCTGAGTAATTGGAGCTACTTCTGCATAACAAACAAGAGCATACATCTTGATATATGCATCTTCTGCTCCTATAGAGCACCAACTCAGGAAAGACAGTTGTGATATTATGACCTGCTAAGGGTGGGGCTAGCACAGTGTTGTCCACTTACTTTTGACCATTTAACATAGGTGTTATGTTTTGATGACAGACGTTTTCAGTTTCATAGCATCTGAAAAAGTTTAGTATGAGGTTATGAAAATGCTCTGGGATTGAACTTTAGAAGTGTGGGAAACCCTGTGCATGCATTGCATCATTCTGTGTTCCCTCTTTAACTAAACTTCACATTGCCAAAGCAGAGCATTTACAAGAAATGGGTTCGCTGAGAAGCCGTTTGAAGATGTGGGAGCATGAACAGGGTGAGGGTGAAACCCTCACCCTGTTCCCTTTGATCCAGTCATTCATGCGCGTCCTCTCTCACTTTCAATTTGACAGCCATTGGTTTACAGGATGCTCTCTGCTAATAGCAAACAATACTTTACAGTCAGAATAATGCTCTTTGCCCTGGTTCAAAATGTGTATTTCATTAGCTTTTATGTCAGACTCAAAGAATGTTGACTTCTTTTATGCGTCAAGCTTCTGCCCTGTTATTTGATGGGCTTGTTGTATTGTTGCCCTCATTCATGTTGGCAAAATCTTTTACAGAGTAGCACTGACATTTGAAGAAAGCATGTAAAACTAACTAATAACAGGCATAATAGGAATGCTCAGCTAATAGTCAGCTGAAGGTCTTTATCTGTATGCTCACACACTGCGACAGAGGGTGATTTAGAGCATCCTTTTTCACCTCAGATCAGCTGTGGTTTGATGTGGAAAAATGAAAAAAGAAAAAAAAACCTTAGGACTTTGTTGTATACAGCTTGTCTCATTGTCCTGTAGGTCCAATCAAGGACTGGTTAGCAACAATCAGTTAATCTGTTCTTTGGATGCTAGCAATGAGGAAAAGCACAGCATGTACCACATTAGAGGCCTATTTCCTGTTTCCTGTCTTACCCCAGGCTTCTGAGTACGCACTTGGGTTATTTCACAATGCTATTTTTGTATCCCCTGTCTGTGTTATTTCATCAAGTGTGTCTGTATTAGGCTTGTAATATTTGTGGTTTTGCTTTCATGTAAACATGCAATGATGAATTGTGCTTCTATGAATCCACTTTTCTTATTAAAGTGGATAATATGATATCATGTGGAGAGTGAAGTTTGTTAGCAGGAAAGGTACAAGCATCTTATTAGCAGCAGCAAAGTGTAAGGTTTTGGTGTTT